CCTTTCTGTGGCCGGGAGTGGCCCACGCCTGGGCATCCCTGCCCGCTGCCAGCCTCGCACCCGCGCTGTTCCAGGCCCATCCTGGTCCTTCGCTTTACTTCTCCTTATTTTCGTTCCGGACTCTGACTTACGGGAACGTCTTCGGGTTTATTTCATTCATGGAGACTGCTTTTATGTCTAAAACGTAAGAGGGACGCGTGGCTAGGGCGGTACTGCCTGGGGCGCCCGAGCAGTGGACTTCACCCCTGCACATTGTCGAGGTCGGCAGTAGGTGTTCATCGTTTCGCCAGTGTCTCCCTGTGCGTTGAACGGTCTGCGACCTTTTGCCGAGTGACTGCAACATGCAAGGTAGGCAGAGACCCCGGCCCTGCAGTCAGGGAACTCAAACAAGAGACTCGCGAAAACTGCAGAACAGAGGAAAACAAAGATTGCTCCAGGATGTGTTCTTAGAAAAATGCTAAGATGATAAAAGACAGTGACGTACTAGGATTGGAATTGACCCGTGCCTCTTAAACGTGGAAGACGCTGTCTTATTTTTGTAATTTTAAATTGGATTGAGCAAGATCTCGCGGCATAATTTAAATTCCAGTTCTCTAAACATGCCATATCGAGTTTCCCAACCTGTTGTGATCACTCACTACAAGCATGTGTAAACTAGGAGCTGTGCATCCCTCACAGGGTTATTATAAAGTTTTAATGCGCTGTTGTTTCTAAAATTGGAAGTTGTGTACAAATGTAAAGTTTTAATTTAAAGAGACAGTATAGTGTCATGGGAAATGCACTGGATTAAGTCAGAACATTCACTCAGGATCTGCGTGCTGATTTTTCTGTTTGTGCACTTGACGCTGGGTAAGAGATTAAATCTCTCCATTTTCTCTGTCTCTCCAGTGGTATTAAGGATTACTCTCCAAGGTACCAAAGCAAAGTTTCTACGAGTTTTGCTGGCTCTGGAGTCAACTGGTTGATTTTCATTTCTGGCTCCCACACTTTCTACTTTTGTCTTTCTCAGTTGCCCCACCGGTGATAAGAGGAATTTCTTGCCCTCTTCAGAGGTCCTAATGTAGATTTAATGAATCGTTAAAAATAAACAAGACAGTTTCCCTCAAAGGCAAAGCGTATTGCCTGACATACTATAAACACTTGGTAAATATTAATTACCAACACAGAAGCTGTCATGATTAATAAAATGTGACATTTTCCATAATTCATGAACAGAGCCAATGTGGTATTTATATTCTGGATTATAGTTGTCATATCACTATTAGAGAATACTCATTGCTAACACTAGTAACATTTAGTGTACTACATAAGTGCTCAATTACATTGAGATGTATTATTTTATGAAAGGAATGAAAAGAAGTAGACTGCTCTTTATACCTATGTTAACCCTGAAAAATTCTTATGATTCCTGGGCATGCAAATTCATTTCGGGACTGACACAGTTAGTGAGATAACTCAGTGAGGGTTATAAAATTGAGAAGGAAGTTTTTCATACTGTATATCTGGTGCTAAGTACATTTGGGGGCACCCACTGAGTTATAGGGTGTTTGAGTGCTGAGATACATTGATAGAATGACAGTATCTTGAAAAAAAGGCACTTATAACCCCTTTATAAAATAGTTAGGCCATTCCTGCCTCTAATTATTCATTAAAATAGAGAAAGGAGTGTTGGTCTTCTATAAGACTTAATTCTTGCTCCATAGTATCTTGACTACTCTATGAAGGGCTATTCTGGCTTTTCAGAGGTAGAAACATGATGGAAATGCTAAGTGAAGTAAGCCAGTCAGAGAAAGACAAATACCATTGATTTCACTAATATGTGGAATCTAATGAACAAGATAAACAAAACAGAATGACAAAGTTTAAAGGGTGGGAGGGGAACTGGATAAAGGAAGGTGAAGGGATTAGCTAAAGAATATATATACATAGCCCATGGGCACAGACAATAGTGTGAGGGTGGGGGTGCTGGGTGGAGGTGGGCAAAGGGAGGAGGACATCTGCAATATTGTTAACAATAAAAAAACTTAGGAAGAAAAAAAGGTAATACAGAATAGGAAAAAGAAAGTAACAAATAGGCCTTTATTTAAACCCTACCTGTCACATACTGTCAGTGATTTTAGGCAAATTTACCTCACCTGAGTCTCTGTCTTCTTATCTGTGGTAGTCATCATTCTACCAAGTTTGGTGTGGACTAGTACTACATACCTTTTACTCAGTTCCTGGCAAAAATGTGAATTCCCTTATATCTGTAGATTGCCATCCCATGTTCAGATTAAAATTTTGCCTTCACAATTTAGGAAGGTGGCATCTTAGTGATGTAGTTCAACCCTATCATTTTATTGGTGGGAAAATTTAGATCTGGGGAAGTAAAGTAATACTCAAGGCATCAGATTGTATACTGGAACCTAGATTTCTGAATCTTGGGCCAGAGTTCTACCTACCACTGAGCTCTGCCTTGTCCAGATTATTTTTGGTAATATCAGATTCCATGCTATGTTTCCTCTCAGAATGTTGTATTAAGAGCATAAATTTGGCCCTAGCTGGCTTGGCTCAGTGGATAGAGTGTCAGCCTGGGGACTGAAGGGCCCCAGGTTCAATTCTGGTCAAGGGCACATGCCCAGGTTGCTGGCTTGATCCCCAGTAGGGGGCATGCAGGAGGCAGCCGATCAATGATTCTCTCTCATTGATGTTTCTATTTCTCCCTCTCCTTCCTCTCTGAAATCAATAAAAAAAATTTTTTAAAAAAGAAAAGCATAAATTTGGCCCTGGCTGGGTAGCTTGGTTGGAGTGTTGTCTCCATACGCCAGGGTTGGGGATTTGATCCCTAGTCAGCTAGAGCAGCAGTCAGCCAATGAGTGCATAGATGGCTGGAGCCACAAGTCAGTGTTCCTTTCTCTCTCTCAAAAAAAAAAAATCAATCAATACATTTTTTTTAAAGGATATAAATTTGGAAGCTTATTTGGGTTCACATCCCAGCTTAGCCACTGATAGTTATATATCTGTTATTAAAGTATTTAATGTTTCTAAGACTTTGTATATAAATTAGAATAATAGTACTAAATAGAAAAAAATGCATGTGGAAGCCTGGCATACAGTAAGTGAGCAATTAATGGTAGATATTATGATGATGAAATATGATAAGATAATCATATTTATTCCTAGAAAAAAGACCAGTCTGGTGTCAGAAGGTATTTGTTTTCTAGTGTCTCGCACCCAGCATATGTAGCATATCTCAACTGAGGGTCCTCTCAGTGTTAACTGTAGTGAAGACTGAAATTTAAGATTTTTAAAAATAATTCTGATTAACAATGTTTGATTCTATTTTTTTCTTTATGTCTCTCCCCTAGCCTTAGGAACTACTGTTTTGTTTCCTGTCCACCTGATCTGGCAAATTGTGTCCTTCTTTCTTCATTATTATTGCAATATGTGATTTTATAACAAATATATTTGGTCATTCAGGTAACCAAAATAATATTTCTCATATATCACAGCTCTCAAAACCCTTGGAATTTACTGAGGGATAAAAACTATGAGAGCATCTTTTGTCATAATACAGGAGTGAACAAAAGTAGCTCTACAGTTGTAATACAAATAAATACTACAGTAATTAAAAATAATACAAGAATAAACTGTTTCACATACTCATGAATGTAAACCTACTTTTGCCCACCCCTCTATTTGGTCTCATCCTCAATTCCGAAATCACATCACAGCCATAAAAGTGAAATGGGTGTCTTGTTATTTACCGGTATAACAACCCCTTTCCACCAGGACTGGGTTTATGTTAATGAGATGACTTTTGGACAGTACCTGAGGATGGTGGCTGGTTGCCAGGAGAACCACCCATCTGATTAGAGGGTTGGAACTTATAGCCCCACAGACCTCAGGGTAGTGGAGAGGGGCTGGAGGTTGAATCAAATCAATTATGCCTATTATGTAATGAAACCTCCATAAAAATGCAGGCATAGTGAAACAGTTTCTACACCTGTGTTTACATCTCAGCTCTCCATTTACTGTGTTACTATGGAAAATTACTTAAATTTCTTCTACATCAGTTTCTTCACTTATAATACTTTTAGAACAGTGACTGACACTAGTAAGCAATCAAATGTTATCTCAAGCAAGGACTGGTAAATAAAAACATTTTTCAAGCATCAATTAATTACTAATCTAAGATACATAAAATACCATTGAGAGTCCTCATTTAGAATGCTGTATTTGGTGTCTTAATTTAAAGGATTTTTTAGGTTCTTTTATGGCCTACAGTCCCTCTTACCTTGTCTTTCCCATGAGATCTTAAAAGGTTTCAGCTACTATTTCTCCTTCCATCGTGTTTTTTCAGGAACATAACTCAGGTGGGGAAGTAACGCTGAATCTAACAACAAAAGTAGATGTAAAGAGCGAGTATATTTTAACTAAGTAAGTAATTGGCTTCTTTTAGGTTTTAGACTCAGAGTTTGATTTGAATCCTACCTCTACCATTCTTCATTCAATAATCAATATTGAGTATCTTCCACACAGTGATGAGTTGGGGACACAATGATGAGCACAAAACAAGACATAACCTCTGCTGTCACAGAGCTAATGTTCTACTAGATTTAATTTTGAACAAATTGCTTTACCCTTCAAATTCTAACCAAATGTAGATGATGCCTACTTCATAGAATTATATGGATGAATTTAAATAAGATAATATTAAAATAATGTAGTACATGGTACTGGGACATAGTGGACACTCAAATGTTAATTTCTTTGTATTCTACTTTGAATGTATAACAAATATAATCAGTTACTGGTATGGAAAGAATATAGTGGAGTATGCATTAAAATATCTGTAATAATAAGGTAATGAATTATACTAAAAGTGTTTGAAAATTTATAATTGGAGAGGCTATAAACTTGCTGTTTATATCTAAGAATGGAAATGTTGATGAGAAAGAAATATATGGGTATAAAGAGTTTAAAATTGTTTATTCTTTGACTGAAAATGGTGTTTCACAACTTGTTATAAAACTTACTAATAGCTGAGATTATGGTTTTATATGATTTATAGATATCAACTATTTTAATATTCTTAAAAACTCTATGAAGTAGTTGCTATTATTTCTTATACTTTATAACTAAGGAAACTGAGGCAGAGAGGTTAAAAAACTTGCCCAAAGTCACATAGACACTAAGTAGTAGAGCTTGGATTCAAACCCTTCGCAGTCTGGTTTCAGAGTCTATGCTCTTAACCGTATACTATACTGCCTCTAAAACAAACAGGAAATTTGAACCATTGCCTCAATATTCACATTACTCTAAATATTCCTTCTTTTTCTGTTCATTTATTCAGTGAGACATTTATATTATATATATTTACTGTTTTAAATAGCTGTCATGGATACACTCGTAGAAGATGATATCTGCATTCTAAATCATGAAAAAGCCCATAGGAGAGATACAGTGACTCCGGTCTCAATATATTCAGATGAGTCTGTTGCTTCACATTTTGCCCTTGTCACTGCATATGAAGACATCAAAAAACGACTCAAGGATTCAGAAAAAGAGAACTCTTTCCTAAAGAAAAGAATAAGATTTTTGGAAGAAAAGGTAATTATTTATTACCTTCATTACGTTTTGTGACCCAAAGAACAATTGAAAATATTTAAAGTATTAAATATTTTTCTGTCCTGTCTTCCATGGTTGTACTAAATTTTCAAGGATAACTCACTGCTAACTTCAAAACCCTAGGTACTGTACTGATATATAGCAATGTTTCACATACGCTGTGCTGGGGGAATATTTATAGAATAGGATTTAGCAATTTGGAGGGATATATGCCAGATATTTTTCTTAACCTCTTTTTCAGATTTCCTTACCTTCATAATTGTATGGTTTTTATTCAGGATCTTAAAATCTGTGCAAAAGTTATAGCCAGTAAAGGAAATTAAGTGTCAAAAGAGAAAGCGCCTGGAACAGTGTTATAATATGCTTAATAATATCTTCACCAGGACTTACATCTTCTTTACCTCAGCATTCTTTTGCTTTTGAACACACATAACAAGAATAGTGCTTTTTAACTGATAAAATGTGGTCTACATACCTTTTCCTGAAGAAATCTGACATTCTTTTCTTTTTTTTTCCAAAATCCAATTATTTTATTTTTTTTTAAATATATTTTTTTGATTTTTTTTACATAGAGGAAGAGATAGGGATAGACAGTTAGACACATCGATGAGAGAGAAACATCGATCAGCTGCCTCCTGCACACCCCCTACTGGGGATGTGCCCGCAACCAAGGTACATGCCCTTGACCAGAATCGAACCTGGGACCCTTTAGTCCATAGGCCGACGGTCTATCCACTGAGCCAAACCAGTTAGGGACTGACATTCTTAAATGTTGTAAAATATACAGCAAGGTAGATGATTCAATTATGAATCATCAGTTCTACTTGGCTTTGTGTATTAGGAAATTTTCCTCACTTATCCATTTGTTTTTGAGTTTTAAAGTTTTAGCTTAATTTGTTTCTTCAGATCAGCATATTCATATTTCACAAGCAACAGCTTCAATAAAGGGGGAAGGAAATGGGTTCCTTAGCAAACAAGGAAATAAATTATCTGCTTGTGAAAACTCAAGGATGGAACTTGATAAAGTTTAATTCTTTTGGAGGAATAAGAGAAGAGGAGTCAGTTGTAAAAATTATTCATAGTTTCTTTGTATTCATATGAATTTACTTTAATGGTGATTAAATGAATTTGTGACATTCTGGGATAAAGTGAGAAAAAGTAACATTTTGGAACTCATAGCTGTGTGTATTTTAAAGTTCAGAAGAATATTGTGATTTGGTCTAGTTAACATTGGAAATATTTCTGTACTTTGTGATCAATAACCTATTAATTCCTATTCTGGAATAATATAGCATTTAATGAACTAATCCATCCTTTCCTTGACACCTTTTGTGATAATGGAAAGTAAATACTATGACTTGGAAAACACCTAAGGACTACAAAAAAATGATGTACTGTGTTTTAGTATGATAAATGAATGTTATAAAAAAGATACTGCAAAGTATAAAATTCTATATAATGAAAGGCTAATAAGCAAATCAACCGAATGGCAGAATGACCAGTCGCTATGATGCACACTGACCACCAGGGGGCAGATGCTGAATGCCATAGCTGCCCCCTGGTGGTCAGTGTACTCCCAAAGGGGGAGCACCGCTCAGCCAGAAGCCGGGCTCACGGCTGGCGAGCGTAGTGGTGGTGGCAGGAGCCTCTCCCACCTCCAAGGAAGCACTAAGGATGTCCGACTGCCGGACATCCCCCAAGGGCTCCCGGACTGTGAGAGGGTGCAGGCCAGGCTAAGGGATTCCCGCCCCCCCGTAGAGTGCACAAATTTCATGCACTGGGCCTCTAGTATTTTAATAAGTACAGTCAAACCTCAGTTCTCAAACATCTCCCATCTTGAACAATTCACTTCTCAACCCGACAACTCTTTCATGCTGATACCTGTATGATCAGTCATTCATCTCTCAGGTGACAAAGGAGAGAATGCGCGATTATGAGTCAGTTTACCACTAAACTTTACATTGTAACATCTCAGGAAATTGTGCTGTGAATATTTTCATGTTTTTTTTTGCTTTTATTGCTGCTAATTATGATTAAATTTTCATTTTTAATGTACATTTCATTTCCTTTTTGTTAAATTTTCATTTATATTTAATGTCCTTTTCATTTTTAAAACATTTATTTATAGTATTTATAAAGTAAACAGTATATTAGACATGTACTGTGTACAATAAATATTAAAACAAAACAGGGAATCATTTGGGGGTCTGGAAGAGATTAATTCAATTTACATTATTTCTAATGGGGGGGAAATGATTCCTTTTTCAATCAGCTTTCTGGAACAAATTGAGTTTGAGAACTGAGGTTGCACTGTAAAAGCATAAAATAGAATACTTGAACCCTTTTCGGTCCAACCTCGAGGCTTACTCAACAGACCAGGCGCTAGGAGCAGGTCCAACGTCGAGCAATAAGATCATTAAAAAGTTTAACATTCAATCCCGTCAATTAATTTGGACCAGACTGTTTGAATTCCAAAAATAACATTGGACCACAAAGGGTTAAAAAATATTCTGTCCTTTTTTGCTTTCTTAATCAGTAAAGGTTAATTGTATGGAAGTGAAATGTTCAGATAATTACAGTCCAGGCTTTATTCCTGTATTACAATGATTCAAGTAAGATGTGATGCCATGAGAAGACTAATTATTTTATGTAGAATACCCTTTTAAGCTTTCTCTTATTTTATATCATTAGCTTACAGGTGCTTTATTAGATGAAGAAACAAGTTCTGTGGGACGAGAACAAGTAAATAAGGCCTATCATGCATATCGAGAGGTTTGCATTGATAGAGATAATTTAAAGAGCAAATTGGATAAAATGGTAAGTTGGTTTGAAAAGAATGATATTATATATTGCAAATGAGTTTTCTCATTCAAGATGTTAAAGTTAGAAATAAGAAATATTTATTAAATAAAAATTTAAAAATAAATATGCTCAAGGCAAAAATAAAAAGTATTAATAGCCTTAGCTGGTTTGGTTTAGTGGATAGAGCGTTGACCTGTGGACTGAAGGGTCCTGGGTTCAATTCTGGTCAAGGGCACATATGTTGTTGGCTCGATCCCCAGTGGGGGGCATGCAGGAGGCAGCCAATCAATGGTTCTCTTTCATCATTGATGTGTCTCTCTCCCTCTCCCTTCCTCTCTGAAATCAATAAAATATATAT